TAATGTGTCCCGCGCCCTCATATGACCGTATGCATTGTACACGAGAAAGTAAGAAAGAAAGAACACAAAACTTGATAATGCTTCCATTACGCTTTTACAATTGAAGACCTCGGGAATAAACGGCATACAGGCACACGGGGAAAAAAATTTGAGGACTATCGCTTTCCTTTCAGTTGTCCATATTAATATTATGGACTACTATGAACTGCCGTTCTTACCACGTTAGCCATCAAGGGAAAAAAACAAAGGTGATTTTTTTCAGCTTCTCAGATCAAGTCTACATTAGGTAAGGGTTCAATATGTACTATAATGTTTGTAAAATTGGAGACCAAAGTAGTAAAAAATGATCTGTTGATCGTTACTCATAGATATAATACATAAAATGTAATATGCATTATGTCAAATACTGAGAAGGTAACAATCAGCATAACAACTTGCTAAAAATATCTGGATGGCATGATTGTTTTAGCATATGATATCACAACTAGGCTTGCGTAGTCTAATATGTGAAAAAATTACTGGTAAAATTGCAGACCAAGTTTGTAACCAAAAAATGATAATCTGTTGTTCGCAAGAACTAGATGTTATACTCTACACAAAAATGAATAGATCTTATCTCACACTGAAAGTGTTGGAACCAATGAATACCTTACTAAAGATATTTGTATGAAAAAATGAAAAGTTGTTTCCAGGATCTCAAATCACAGCTGGGCTTTGAAAGGGCTCAATATGCCCAACATTTACATTTAAATAAGGAGACCCAGGTTGTAAAACCAAGTATCTGTTGGCCACTACGGCTAAGCACACATAAATATAATTGGATTACATCAAACCCTGAAGGTTTAAGTTTAACAACCAACAAAACAACTTACTCAAGAAATTAGGAATACTACAATATAAAAGCAAAGTGGTTCTCAACATCTCAGATCACAGCTGATCTTGCTTTGGGTTTAATATGTACAACATTACATGTAAAATTGCAGACCAAATTTGGAAAAAAGTGATCTGTTAGTTCTCCCTACTAGATCTATATTTATAAATATTTTCCCAGTACTTCAGGTCACAACTAGGTTCGGTTAGGTTTAATATGTACAAAATAGTATGATCTGTTTGGCTGGGACAACAAAATAAAGAGACAAGTGGATTTTAAGATAAGACACTGAGAGTGTAGCAACCAACAAGACAACTTACTAAATATAGATCTATTAGGATTACAAAAATGGGAAGAAGTTTCTTGCATATCAGGTCACAACTAGGTTTGATAAGAGTCTAATAGGTAATAGGATTAATTTGAGTCTAAAAAGCCCAAAGCTACTTGCAAAATTTCAATCAAGGTTGTTAAACGAATCTGTAGGTCGTAACAGCTTAAAATACACAAAGTATAACCATGAAAATAACATCATACAGTTATGAATTGTGGTTGTTGTGTTGCTGCTGCTGTTGTTGTCGTTGTTGTTGCTGCTGCTGCTGTTGTTGCTGCTGCTGTTGCAGTTGTTGTTATTTTTGTTTGTTTGTTTGCTTGTAGGATGGGTTTTTTTCAGCTGTTCAGGCTCTCCACTCCGTTGGATCAATTCTATTGCAAACGGAAGTTAAGTTCAGCGCTTCTGCGTCTTAAATTATAATCTTACGTGTTACGTAATACATGTATGTGTAAATACATACCTGGGTGGAAGGCAGCTGTAGAGAAGAAGGTCTCGTTAGCGTAACTGGTCAGGGCTGATTTGTACTCTTTTTTGCACATGTTGAGGAAACCTTCGTTTCTGATCAAAAGAAAAAGATTAAAAGTATAGAAGAAGAAGAAGAAGAAGAAGAAGAAGAAGAAGAAGAAGAAGAAGAAGAAG